GGGGACGCACCGCCCAGAAGGCCGGACTCTGGGGTCGCTGCACCAGGGGGTGAAGGTTGAGGAGATGTGTGACCTGAAGGACCGACCCCGACAAGAGTCTGAAAATCAGTTTATTTATTGCACGTGCTGTGGGAAATGTGTAGTCCTGGGCAGGCAGCTAGGAGATGACCAATGCAGGTCCACCTAAGTGACCCCCTCAAGGGCTGCTATCCTGGGGTACGATCCCAGGGCCTTCTGGAGACGGGGAGGGTCCTTTCTGAGGCTGCGGTCTCTGCTGCCGCTCCTGCTGAATCCTGGCTCTGTTGGCCCTGGAGAAAAGATAGATCGGGACAGGGATCCCGATAGTTCTGGGACAGGGACTGAAGCAAGATCGAGCACGACAGACCTGGCTCTGGCCCTCGTGTCATTGTAGATGGCTGTGATGATCCGATCCTTTTCATCCATGAAGCTCCGGTGCACCTGCTCCAGCTTCCTGTGAGGGAATTACAACAAACCCTGGGTCTCAAGGTTCTGCTATCCCTGAAGCCAGGGTCCTTAACCTTGCTCTAGAATCTATCTCCCATACAACTTTACATCTCTCCTCCCAACAGACAGTCCTGTGATAAGTTGAAAAAAGGTACACAACCTGATCGGCACACTTTTAATCCCAGCACTGGGGAGCTGGAGGCAGGTCTCTGTGAATTCAAGATCAATCTAGTCTACAGAATGAGAATGAGTTTTAGGACAGCCTGGGCTACACAGAGAAACTCTGTTTTGGGCGGGGGGGGGGGGAGCCCAACTAAGTGGTTCAGGTCAATGCAGGGCTGGGTGGTACCCTAAGTCCCTGGGTGTCCTGTGAAAGTTGGTGGATCAGGTCTGAAATCGGGGTGCCCCTCCCAGGAAATTAGAAAGGGGATGTATTTCTCTCATCTCCATTGCTGAACTAGACAGTACTGGCAGTGGGCACCATCCTTTGGGTTTCTGTACTGCAGAAAACTGGAATTACAGCATGCATGAGAGAGTGGTCTGAGGTCCTGGATGCTAACAAGGACTGTTTCTGTCACACTGTACTGTTCCCCAGCCCTTCATTTCCTCTTTCTTTCTATATTGGGACAGAGTTTAATGTAACCTAGGCTGCCCTCAAACTCAGTAATGTAGCCAAGGATGACCCTGAACTTAAAAAAAAAGATTTCTTCTTATGTTTTGTATGTGTGTGTGTGCATATGCATATGTGTACATCATATGTGTGCAGGTTTGCTTGAAGGCCAGAAGAGGGCATCAGATCTCCTGGCAGTTGTGGGCTATCATATGTGGGTGCTGGGAATTGAACTCTGCTCTTTTTTTTTTCCCCACTCAAGACAGGGTTTCTCAGTATTGCTTTGGAGCCTGTCCTGGAACTTGCTCTGTAGACCAGGCTGGCCTTGAACTCACAGAGATCCACCTGCCTCTGGGATTAAAGGCGTGAGCCACCACCGTGCCTGGTTGAATTCTGCTCCTCTTTTATAAGAGCTATAGGGAGAGACCCTGAATACCTGTACCCCTGGCCACACCCATTTGGGCATGGTCACAGTTACATAGAGGGATAGGATAAAGAGTGAGCCAGGTCCCAGTGTGTGTCTGAGACTGGGTTGCTCGGAGTGCCAATCTGGTTATCGGCTATACATGTGAGTTGTTCTCATTGTTGTCATTTATAATATACCATCAATAAGGGCTGGAGAGATGGCTCAGTGGTTAAGAGCAGAGGTCCAGAGTTCAATTCCCAGCAACCATATGGTGGCTCACAACCATCTGTAATGGGATCTTGTGCCCTCTTCTGGCATGGAGGCTTACATTCAGGCAGAACACTGTATACATAATAAACAAATAAATCTTAAAAAATATCATCAATAACTATATCTTGGGTATGGCTGTGTTCCTTATCAAATAGCAGCAAGCAATCTTAATCACTGAACCATTTCTCCAGCCCCCAAGCTTCTCAGTCTCCCATCTCCATCTCCTGAGTGCTGGGATTGCAGGTACAAACCACCATGCCTATTTTATGATATGCTAGAGAGAGAACCCCAGGGGTTTGTCTATGCCCTCCTTGTGCATGTTTTTGGATGGCTCTAGCCTCACCAACAATCAGCACCAAAGATTAACATTCCAGTTATGAGAATGTTAATGAGAAAACAACTTTAGCCCTCTTGTGTAGTGCTGCCTTTACCCAGCAAGGCAAGGCTCCAAAGACTGATTTCACAAATTTCTTAGCTTGAGAGAGACAAAGTATTCAGGTCATAGGCTGCTGTGGCTGGCTGACTACTCTACCCACCCTCTACCCTGTACCCCAGGAAGGATGGGAAGGCACCTGAAAGCGACATAGTGCAGGCTCATGCCTGCCACCATGAGCAGGAGGCAGTACCCCAGTACCCGCTGGTTGTGTTTATGCTGCTGCTGCCTTGACTCGGGCCCCTGTGGCCTCACTCTGTGAAACTGGGCCCAGTATTTTGCATTGGGGGGTTCCCAGGAACTGTTGAAGAGCAAAAGGACAACGGAAAGATGAAGCTTTCTGGAAGGCTTCAGGGTGGGGACAATAGGGGTCAGGGCTACTATACCTGTGTGTCTCTTGGGTATACTTAGGCTGGGCTCTGGTTCCTGAAGATTCTGGGGGACTGGCTGAATGCAGCTGGTGGTCATATTTGCGACGACTCTCCTCACGGCTGAGCACTCGGTATGCCTCATTCAGCTCCACAAAGCGGCTATGCAGGGCTGGGTTCCCAGGATCTCGGTCAGGGTGCAGCTGGGTGAAACAGTGATCCCTGTATCTCATTTTCCACGTCCTTCCTGGGACCTATCCTGATGATGGCCACCCATAAAGACTGACATCACTCCCACAGATTTTACCTATGGGACATTGCCTCTCACTTTGCTGACCCCTCCCAAAGGCCAGAGAGTCAGAAAGTACAGACTCTTACCCCTCTCATTCAAGAAAACCAAGGAGATATTTCAGCTCACAACTGTAACCCCAGTTCTAGGAAGGTGGGGATAGGAGAACCACTGAAAGTTCTCTAACTTTGGGCTACAGTGTGAGATCCTATCTCAAAAACAAAGAAAGAAAACTAGCCCAGAAGGACCGACCCCTGGCTTTGTCCATGGAGGATATTGGGTACCTCCTATCCATGCAGGTGGAGGAAGGAGTGTGCTAGCAGCTAGCAGGTAGGTACAGACCTACCCCAGGAGTGTGTCTGGTTTACACCTCATCTTCCTCCCTCCTCACCTTGGGGATACCAATACCTCTTTGGACTTGGTAAAGAAAGCACGTTTAACCTCTTCAGCACTGGCATCAGGATGCACCCCCAACAGTTCGTAGTAGTTAGACGGAGAAGACCTATGGAGAGAAGCCCAAACCTACAGAGGCTTAGGAGACCAAAGGTCATCATTGCCCTGTCCTGCCATCCTCTCTGGGCACACCCTTCAATTCAGTCACCAGGAACTGAAGTTAGTCCCAAGACACATTTTGCTCCAGATTACCCTTCCCTTTGGGATGTTTCAGGAATGGTCAGGACTTCTTAGTTTCAAAGTGTCTTCCTCATCAGACTCCTACACCACAGACCCAAAAAGGGTTCTGCTGCTTAAAAAAAAAAGTGGGGGGAACTACCGGGCATTGGTGGCGCACGCCTTTAATCCCAGCACTTGGGAGGCAGAGGCAGGCAGATCTCTGTGAGTTCGAGACCAGCCTGGCCTACAAGAGCTAGTTCCAGGACAGCCTCCAAAAGCCACAGAGAAACCCTGTCTCGAAAAAACAAAAACAAAAAAACAAAAACAAAAAAAAAACAAAGGGGGGGGGACAAACAAAACAGGGTCTCACTAGCTCTGTCTGACGTGAACTCCCTAGGTAGATCAGACTAGCCTTAAACTCACAGAGTTTGCCTTTGCCTCCCAAGTTCTGCGGCTGACAGTGGGCACCACTGTCCCACCACCATCCTGGCTTAAACACTTCTTTAAAGTTTTATTATTTGATTTTATGTATATGACTGTTTGTGGGTATGTGCACCACATGAATGCCTGGTGCTCCCAACAGGTCAGAGAGTGTGGCTGTAAGTCCTTGTGTTGAGTCCTCTGTGCTGGCAAATGCTTTTAATCTCTGAGCCATCCTCCAGCTCCTAAAGACTTATTTAAAACAGCAGGTTTTGTATGTCTCTCTTAGGGTCCTCCTTGTTTCCTAGCTTCTCTGGCAGTATGGTAATCCTTTGCTCTATGTCTAAAATCCATATATGAGTGAGTACATACCATGTTTGTCTTTTTGTGACTGGTCCCCAGAAAAGAGGAAAGGGACAAGATCTCCTGAGCTAATTGGGAGCATGGGGGAAGGGGAGAGGGAGTTAGGCGAAAGAGGAGGGGAGAGGAGGACATGAGAGAGCAAGATGGATCGAGTCAGGGGAAGGATAGAGGAGAGCAGGATGAGAGAGACCATAACAGAGGGAGCCATTATAGGTTTAAAGAGAAATCTGTCACTAGGGAAATGTCCAGATATCTACAAGGTTGATCCCAACTAACAACCTTAAATGCACTTCTCCGATAATGAGATTGATGACTACCTTATATGCCTGAGCTGAACTCTGGAATCCAGTTGCAGAGAGGGAAGAGTGATGAGCAAAGGGGTCAAAACCAGGCTGGAGAGACCCACAGAAACAGCTGACCTGAACAAGGGGAGTTCATGGACACCAGACTGATTGCTGGGAAACCAGCATAGGACTGTTCCAGACCCCCTGAAAGAGGATGTCAGTTTGGAGGTCTGGGGCCTCAGGTAGTGGATCAGTATTTATCCCTAGTACATGAATGGACTTTGGGAGCCCACTCCACATAGAGGGATACTCTCTCAGCCTAGACACACGGGGGAGGGTGTGTCTAGGCTGCTCCAAATGATATGACAGATTTTGAAGATCCTCATGGAAGGCCTTACCCTCCCTGAGGAGCAGAAAGGGGATGGGATAGGGGGTCGGTGGGGGGCAAGGGAGGAGGGGAGGGAGAGGGAACTGGGATTGACAAGTAAAACAAGCTTGTTTCTAATTTAAATTAAAGCCTTAAAGCCGGGTGGTGGTGGTGTGTAGGGGACAGTGTAAGCCACACCTGCTAGAAACTGGCTACAGGTGTGCCTAACCACACCTAACCAGGGCATGGTCAAGGTGAGGTCAGGATGACTCGTGTTAGGGTTTAAAGGGACAGACAAGGCACATCTGAACTCCAGATACTCTGGAGATTGTGTTTGGAACCTTGATTGGGCAACATAGAAAAACTGCATCTCAAAGGAAAAGGAAAAGGCAGATTCCCACCCTCACCCCCCCTCATTCCTCCTGACCAGCATCTCCAGATCGCAGCCCAGAAATCTAAATCTTTGTACTCAACTTTCCTCATTTCCAGTGTATGCACAGTGAAGGCTGACAACATACCAGAACTATGGAAAGAGCACTGGCTTTGACCTGAGCTCAAATTCCCGACCTGCCACTTATCTCACTTAATCTTGGGGCTCTGCTCTGAACCCTTGATACTCAGTGTCCAGCTCTGAAGGTGAGGGTTATCTGGGACAGATCTCTAAAGGCACTTGGCGTATAATGCAGACAGCTATCTCAGAACACAGGGCTCTCAATAGAAAATCACAGAACAACATGGCCAAGATCTGGCGCTCAACTCACCGCTGCTCTGTGGCGGCTGAGAGAAGCCGGGTGGGAGGGCTGTAGGGCCACAGCCGGCATAGGCGCGGGGGCAGCAGGAGCAACAGGGACGGCATGATGACAGCGGCGGGGCAGCTGGGAAAGGGAGGACCCCCCAAGAGGTATGCATTGGATCCCAATCAATTGGGCCGGACCTCGGGTGTCGGGGAAGAGAGAAGGAGCCTGCCTCAGTTTCCCACAAAGCCAGACTGAAGCAGATTTCAGAAAGGCCTCTTTATTCAAGACTCAGACGCGAGTGCTACGGCCTCCAGCACTGGTCTCCAAGTCTAGATCACCGGCTCAGGACCCGGGACACCCCTCCCCATCTATAGCGTTAGGTGGGCGTGAGGAGGAGGAGCCACAGCAGAGCCCCGCCCCTGTCCCCCACTCACAAACTCCACAGTCGCCGCCATTTCCTGCGCCCGCACAGGCCCCGCCCCCAAGCCCTGATTGGTGTAAGGCTCACGCCACTCTTATTGGGCAGGAAGGCGGGTACACGAACAAAGGACCCGCCCCCGTACGCTCATTGGTCTAAAACGCCAGAGTCCGCGAAGCGGAAGTGCCGGGGTTTCTGAAAGGTACCGGGGTCTGCCCGTCCCGTGCCCCATCCCTCTGAGCAGCCAGGCGCGGTTCAAAGAGGTGCTTTTTCTGCGCCGTGGCCCGCCTTCTCCAAACAGGGACACACGGAGGCTGCGTTGCCACGTGGCCAGCCCCTCTCACCCACCCCAGGTTCTCCCGGAGGATCCCAGACTAGCAGAAGCAGCAGAAGGCAACGGTATCCAAGAATAAAAGTCCTTTATTGTCTTTAGAGCTGCAGTGATAGGGCTGGGACGCTAGGATGACTCAGGCGGGACGTCCCAGCACCCGACTGTAAAGGAGGATGGCGATTGTAGAGGAGGATGGCGCCTTTGGCTGAAGGGCAGAGTTGTGCCCACATCTCTGTCTCCTGTAGTCTCTGTACCCTCTGAGAGAAATCAGTGAGACCCAGACATCAGGCCTCACTTTCTGCCTATAGTTACTGAATCTCAGTACTCCTGTCTATCCCCGTTCATGGGCTTTCCCCTTAGGTAGGACCCAAGCTTTGTGCCTCTGGAAACTCTAGGAGACCCGGGAGTTCTCTGCCTCACCCAAGTATTCTTTCCCCCCAATACCAGACCACCGTGAAGGCCTCAACTCCACACCTGTGTCTCCACAAAGATGATTCCTGTAGACTCGTGGGCCTCAGGTCCCCCACTCATGTAATAACTCCTAACCTCCTCTGAAGTTAGGCTGCACCTAGACAAAAACATGAGGGTGGCTTGGTGTCCAGACTTTATGGGAACCCCACAGAACTCGAGTCGCCTCACACCCACTCCTTCCCCACCCACCTCACCCAGGATCCTGCACCCCAGAGCCCACTCACTGGACATGGAACTCTGCACTGGCTCTGCCCGCGCTGGTCTCATTGCAAGCGATGCCCAATAACAGTGGCTGGCTCAAGGTATGCGGTGGCACGTTCACCTGTGGCAGGGAGTCCCACCTGTCAGGCTGACAGCTCAATGGCCTGGGTTTTTTGTTTGTTAGTTTGGTGTTTTTGTATGTTTATTTTTGTTAAGGCAGAACCTCAAGTAGCCCAGGCTGGCCTTAAACTCACTATTTAGCAAAGATGACCCAGAATTTCTGGTCCTGCCTTCATCTCCTGAGTGCTGGAATTACAGGTATGCATCACTGTACCTGGTTTACACAGTACTGAAGATAAAACCCCAGGCTTTGTACATTGTTAGGCCAGTGTTTCTCAACCTGTGGGTCGCAACCCCTCAGGAGGTCAAATGACCCTTTTACAGAGGTCACCTAAGACCATTGGAAAACATATTTACATTATGCTTCACAGCAGTAGCAAAATTACAGTTATGAAGTAGCAACGAAAATAAATTTATGGTTGGAGGTCACTACACCATGAGGAATTACATTAAGGGTTGCAGCAATAGGAAGGATGAGAACCACTGTGCTAGGCAAACAATCTTAAGAGCAAAACTGAGCTATATCCCCAATCCTCAATGGCTGTGACACTTGGCATTTTTGTTTTGCTAGCCAAATGCCCCATTACACAAAATACAGGCTCTGAGTGTGTTAATTTTCAGATGAAAAATGGAACAAATTGTCCAGGGAAACCATTTTACCCAAGCGAAGTAACCAAGACTCTCACTATTTTTTCAGCAAATATGGGAACAGACTAGACTAGACATTTTTCATTATTTGCACTGTAGTAAAGAAGAATCTGAGGGCTAAGGAATCATGGCCTCAGTGTTAATGCTATGCTCCTTCAATGGCAGCGAGGCTCATGCAGACCCTCACTCTGGCCCAGGACTGTGGATTTCTAGCAAATCCTACCCCCTCATTCATGCCTATCATGTGTCTGGGAGTGTCATGTGTCACTCACCTCATCACAGATCTCCTGTAGGACACTGGAGAAGAGTTCACGTACCACCAGTTCCCCAGGGAGGTCCTTGTGCTGGGGGATGCCACCAGAGCACAGGGCCTGTGAAAAATTTAGGCTCAGCCTTCATCTATTCCAGTTCCCATTCTGCTTTTCCTCTTGTTGGCTATGGGGGCCTAGGGCAGATTCAGTGTGGGAGTCTTGGCAATTCCCTAACCCAGGTCCTCCTATTCCAACTAGGAAGGTGAGAAAAGATATCTCCCCTTCAGCCTCCTCCCATGCTCCCTAGCTTTCATAGGTGTGTTTCAGCTTAGAACTATAACTTGATCTCCCAAATGGCAGTGAGCACCTTGTCTCCTCCCAATATTGGTGAGAGTCATGGGAGGTGCTCAGCTGGGTGGGCAGCCCTCTAGCAGGGCATGCAGCACGGGAGGCTACTGGCTGAGAAACACCAGGCCACTTTTCCCTTTAAGATAAAATAAAACCAGAACTAGGAGCTTGAATTTTGTGCCTTTGTACCCAGCCAGTCATTTTACCTGAGGTTCAGGGTGCCCTCCAGGCACGTCTACCATCCCAGGCGCCTCAGCCACCTGCTGAGAGCGGCGCAGGAAGACAAGGAAGTCATCAGCTGTGACCAATATGGCACCCACCCCCAGTGGATCTGCCAGATAGGCTTGCTTTTCACCCCAATCTGTAGCTCCCTGCTGTCGCAGCCAGGAGGCTGAGCTGGACCAGTTTGTGCCCAGGAAGTCCCGGTAGGAAGTTAGTCCCAGGTTCAGGAGCAGCTGTGGCTGAGGTGAGCTGGATGCCAGTATGGCCGAGTGAAGGCGGAACTTAGGGGCATCAAAGATCCAGGGTTGGGTCTGTAGCCTTGTCTCCCAGATGGCAGTAATGGTCTTGTCTCCTCCAGGCAGTGGGCGACGATCATGAGCTGGGCTCAGCTCTACTGCTACCTGCTCCTGGGACAGTCCCCCAGGAGGACACAACAGCAGGAGGGACACCTCAGGGTCCATGGTTTGACAAGGAAATTCTGGGGAGAAGACACATATGGCCATCCTGTCACTCGAGACAATGAGCTGGCCCTCTTTTCCACAGAACTCCTGAAAGTGAGCCCACCCTTCTGCAGATCCCTGACTACTTATTGCTTGGGCAAGAGTATCAACCCAGCAAGAATCCTGAGCCCAGCAAGCACCTGGAACTCCTGCTGCCCCAGATCCCTAAAACCTTTGGGCATCCCTACCACCCAGCAGCAGTAGACGCTCCAATGTTCATGGCCCCCAAACCCAGATGTACTTACCTCCAACCCGGACGGACGCTCTGGAAGCTGGCTCTTGGAATTCACCGGCGGCTTGGCCCCCAAGCTCCACCTCTTTCCTCTCAAGCGGAAGTGCCTGCCCCTTTCCTTCGCGGCTTCCCATTGGCCAGTCTGTGTCCAGGCCTGCGACTTGACCCTCCTTGAGCGCTTCTGATCCGCATCGGCCTGGCTCACCTTGGCGTCTAGTCTCCAGCCCGGAGACCTAGGCAGCGGCAAATCCGCGATCCGATTCCAGAGAGCGGAGTCTGATCCAGATCCCTCGGGTCTCGTGGCTGCCAGTGTGACCCTGGCAAGTCTCGCCAGCTGGGCCTCAACTTCCATTGTGTGGACCAGAGGGTTCCAGGGTGGGATGAGCGGTGTGATTCACCCATCCCGAGCCTTTGTGACTTTATGGGCAGAGTGGCCACACGTTCCTGCTCCCTACAGGTCTTGGCCATGAACGCCCCTGGAGGAAGGAGGCAGGAAGGTAGAAGGGCCCATAGACCCCGGGAACAGGTGTGCACCTTTCCACCCTCACCCCCGGCAGTGGCTGGACAGGGGAGGAGACCCTCTGAGCCTCAGCTTCTTGGTGGGAAGACTGGAGAACCAATGGTCCCAGAGGCCACTGGAGCTGTTCTGGTCTACCTTTGCAGTAGGACATTCAGGGCTCAGGGCTAGCTACCAAAACCCAATGACTCTTTCAGGACCGAGATGTGCAGCTGTCTAAGGCTCTGTCCTATGCCCTACGCCACGGAGCCTTGAAGTTGGGACTTCCCATGCGAGCTGGTAAGTGAGCATGGTGGAATCTGGGAGAAGTATGAGCCCAGACTGGAACCCTGTCTCCTCAACTTTTAACCCTGCCCAGGAGGAACACAGAATAGGCACACTCTCCAAATGTACAGAAAAAGAAAGCCCAGAACCCATCTCATGATAAACACTTCCCAAGGATGGAAGGGGTTGCATTCTGAGGCAAGTGATGTTTATTGGATGGCCATTCTGGGCCAAGTACTTAGTACATGCTGTTACTCTCCCTGAAGCAGATATGCTATTTGTTTTTAGTTTTTTGTTTGTTTGTTTTTATTGTATGAGTGTTTTGCCTGCATGCATGTATGTCTGCACTACGTGCATACCTGGTGCTTGTGGAGGCAGAAGAGGGCACTGGACCCCTGGAACTGGAGTTCAGATGGTTGGGAGCTGCCATGTGAGCTCTGGGAGTCAGACCCCACGTCCTTTGGAAGATTGGCCAGTGCGCTTAATTGATGTACCATTTCTAAAGCCCTTTTGTTTTCATTTTGAGATAAGGTGTCATTAACTTAGGCTAGCCTCAAAATACCTTGAACTCTTGATTCTTCTGCCTCTACCACCCAATTGCTGGGCGTATAGGCATGTACCAATATGGCCACTATAAAGCTGGTCACCTTCCCAGGTAAGTTAAGAAAAATAAGGCTTGGGATGGAAGTGTATCTCCTTAGCAGAGGTCTTGCCTAGCAGGTGCAAGGCTCTGTGTTCCACCCCAGTATAGAAAAAACAAAAAAATGAAGCCCCCAAAGGAAAGCCTTCCTGAAGGTCACACAAAGGAACCTCATGCGACCTTCCAGGCCTAGCCTTTGTTCCAGGTGCCTGTGACTCTCCTGGTAACCGTAGACCCTGACTCCTGCACCCACCCCACCCTGCAGATGGCTTTGTGCCCCTGAAAGCCCTGCTGCAGCTACCTCAGTTCCACAGCTTCTCAGTGGAGGACGTAGAGCACGTGGTGGATACCAATGGAAAGCAGCGGCTCGCCCTACAGCCAGGCGAGCCCAGCACTGGCCCTCTTATCAGGGCCAATCAGGGCCACTCCCTACAAGTGGGTGCCAAGGGGCAGGTGGGAGGGAGAGCCAAGTGGGACCCCACTTCACAAAGGAGATCTCATTGCTGTCCATTCATGTACTCATTCCCAGGTACCTGAGTTGGAGCTGATGCCCCTGGAGACACCACAAGCCCTGCCTTTGATGCTAGTCCATGGTACATTCTGGAAGCATTGGCCATCTATTCTACTGAAGGGCTTGTCATGCCAAGGAAGGGCACACATCCACTTGGCCTCAGGGTTACCTGGGGACCCTGGTGTCATCAGTGGTCAGTATCACCTTCAGCTATTCTGTCCTCCCAGACTCCCCACCAAGCGTCACAGCTTCCTTTGTGTGAGACCACTACACAGACTTGCGCGGAGCAGTATCTCCCGACCCCACTATAGAGCTCCATTCTGCCCAAGTGCCCCAGGTCCCTGTCTAACTGTCCCCACAGGCATGCGTCCAAATTGTGAAGTGGTGGTGTTCATTGATGGACCCCTAGCCCTGGCAGGTAAGTGTGGACCCCCCCCCCAGGGACCCTCCCAGATCTGTCAGAGAGGGGCACCAGTCACATCTCTAGCTCTGTGAGCAGATGGAATCCCCTTCTTCCGCTCCGCCAACGGGGTGATCCTGACTCCAGGGAATGCTGAAGGCGTCCTACTTCCCAAGTACTTCAAGGAGGCCCTGCAACTACGACCGACCCGTGAGAACCAACCACCTACCCTGTATTCTAAAGCTTGTGCCCTTCTGCCCTCAAGCTCTTTGCAAGTTCCCCACCATAGGCTGGCTTATATGTTCTTTTCTATTAGCAACTCTAGTCTCTTCCCCAGGAAAGCCTCTCTCCTTGGCTGGTGATCAAGAGACGGAGTATCAGAGTGGCCCCAAGCACAGCTCCAGAGGAGGGAGAAGAAAGATCCAACAATAAAATACTTATTTATTTAAAAAAAAAATCTGAAATTAGTCACAGAAAGAAAGTCCAGTTTGAAATCAGGATTCCTTGTTCCTTATCTGTATCTGGCACTCCTCATGTGCTTAGGAACTACATATAGGTCAGGGATGTGAGCTTCTGGAGGGGCTCTGTGTGACTGCCCTCCACCCCAGCCGGGGCCCTGGCCTGCCAGTGACAGCAGGTGAAGGTACCCAGCATGGTGCATGCCGGGAGTGGTGGAGCAGTGAATTCAGGTGGATGTGGGCTTGTGAGGGTCCCCGGAGGTGGTGAGTGGAGCAGGGGCAGCCTGGTTGCCCTCAGAAGGCCTCATGGCCGCCTGTAAGCTGCAGGAACAGATCCTCGTCCAGCTCCTCCCCGCGGGCCCGCTCTCGAGTGGACAGGAAAATGTAGCCGCCAATGTACTCATGTACGATGCGGCAGCTCGCAGACACGCAGCTGAAGGCCACATTGATGTGTTCATCAAATTCAATGGCCACCTGCAGGTGGGCGGGTGGTCACAGGTCCAGCGGTCAGGGGCAACAAGCAGCAGTTTCTGCCTTGCCCTAGTTGTGTCTGAGCTCCCCACCTGTCCCTGTCCCTGTCCCTGCCCTCCCTTGGGGCCTACCTGTTGAATGTCCCAGTTGACATTCCACTGGCGCATGTTGCTGAAGCGCCAGGTCTTGACCACGTCACCCACGGCCAGGTCAATGCGGATCAGTCTGTTGTTGGCAATGCCCAGGATCTCATCTTTCCTGCTGCCCTTGAACCTGGTTCCCAGGTGGGGAGATATGAGTGAGAGCCATGTATGGCCCTGGAGCCTACCCTGTGTGTACGCTGCTCCAGAGGCCTCAGGGTAGAGCACAGCCTCACCTGCCCAAGCTCTGCAGACCTACAGCTGCTCAGCCTGAGGCAGCCCATCAGTTTCTCCTAGCTTTAAGCTCCTACTCTGAAAAAATGGCATTATTCATGGACTCGTGTTAGCCATGCATGGTGCAGCATGTCTGTCATCCCAGCACAGGGACTGACACAGGAATTCACATCAGACTTGATACATGGTGAATGAAGCTCTGTATCTGCCTTGCAAGTCTAAGACCTGAGGTTGATCCCCAGGCCTGATCCCTGGGACAAGATAGAAAGTCCGGGGGAGATTGCTCAGTGGATAAAGCTCTTGCCACACACATGTAAACCTAATGCATCTGCAGTGTGGCTATGGCGAGTTGGGAGGCAGAGACGGGAGTCTCTGGAAAGTCTTCAGCTAGGTAGCCTGGAATACACAGTGACGAGTAAGAACTCGTTTCAAACAAGGTAGAAGGTAAAGACTGTTCTAGAGGCTATCCTCTGACCCCCACATAACTGCCACAGCATGTGTACGGACACACACACACACACATACGAAGATTTAAAATAAAAACATTAAGAAAAAAAATAGTCTGGGCGGTGGTGGAGCACACCTTTAATCCCAGCTCTTGGGAGGCAGAGACAGGCAGATCTCTGTGAGTTTGAGGCCAGCCTGGTCTACAGAACGAGTGCCAGGACAGCCAAAGATGTTACACAGAGAAACCCTGACTCAAGAAAGAAAAAAAAAAAAAAAAAAAAAAAAAAAAAAAAAAAAAAAACAGCAGGAGGGTTCAGCCACCTCAAGCCTGGTGGCCTGAGCTCATCCCCAGAGCCACATGGCTCCTTGCTGTAAGTTGTTCTCTGGCCTCCACATGTGCACATGCACAAAATAAATAAGTTGAAAATGTAAGCTAGAGGGGCTAGAGAGATGGCTCAGCTCTTAAGAACACTTCCAGTGCTTATAGAAGACCCAGGTTCCCAGTGCCCATACGGGAGTACCCTGTCTTGAAAACACTACCCCCCTCCAAGAAAAACAAGCAAAAACAAAAAAAGAAGACGGACAGCCCCTGAAGAACAATATCTGAGGGTACCCCCACATACACACATGCATACATGGTGAGGGCATCATAATAGCATTTGGCAACATTGGGCAAATAGTTCCTGCCGCTAAGTAATGCCATTCATCTCTGCAGACTTGGGAACTGAGTTCTCAGGGTCCTCCCTATAGGACCAGGGACAGCTGGCCAAGGCCCAGAGAGGGAGGCGTCTATGACAGAGCCGGGATAAGCACTAGGTTTTCTGCTTGCCTGGCATGAGTTCTGTCCCTTGGATGCCTGTGATAGCGCACATTGGGGAATACACAGAACCCCCAGGGAGAGGTCCACAGAGAAGAGGGGAAAAGAGACATTGGGTTGTGTGCCTGCGGCCCATCTGGGATGTGAGCACACAGCAGCAGGCAGCAAGTGAGGGCAGAGACAGTACTTTGTTTTGCAGGACTAGAATCATACCTGACTATCACATAGGAGATGCCAAAGTCAGGCAAAGATTGCCAGGCCTGGATGAAGCGCAGCTGGGCCTCTATCAGTGAGAGCTGGGCCACATTCTGGTGCGCTTCCAGGATCCGTGGGGTGAGCTGTGGGGCCATACAGTTAAGGGACTCTTAGGGCCTCCCTTTATCTAAAGTCCCTAAGATCCCCTCTTCCCCTGCCATCTCCCTGCCCGCCCTGTTGAGAGCACAGTACACTGAGCCTGAAAGCAGGGCAAAGTAACCATTGTGGTACCACCAAGGTGCACATGTGGCTGAATCAGACCCTACTTTAGACCTGGAACCCTTTCAGAGAGGCGCCTGAGACACAGCAGCAGAAGGAAGAAACGAGCACAGTGTTTCCTAAAGAAGAGGGTTTCTATTGGAGGTCCAGGGGTCACGGGTGACTAGGGAAGCACTGTGGCAGTTCCCACCCCACATTTCCTCTGGCACCTGCTTGGCCTTGAACTTTCGCTGGAAACGGGGAGCCACAAGGCCATAGGGGTTAAGGCTTTCAGCAGAGGCTTCAGGACCCTGGGGGTGGTTCCCTGAGCCTCCGCTGCCACCACCTGCCCGCTGCAGGCTAAGGAAGGCCAGAATGGCTTGCACCTCGCTGGCATAGCTGCTGTCCGCCATAGTACGGCCCTTGGAGGCCAGTCGGCAGGCAGCCATCCACTGTGCATACTGCTGTTCCTGGAGCAAGGACAGAGAATGTGGTGAGTATATTCTGGCCATGTTCACTCATACCCTGAATGCCATTCCAGCCCTGCCCTCCCACTCCTGCTCTCGCTTTGGTCTAGCCTGCTCACATCCTGGCAGCGCAGGTAGATCTCACTCATGCCCTCCGGTGAGGGCACCAGGAGTTTGATGCAGAACTTCTGACCAGAGACATTGACATCAGGGACCACCTCACAGCCTGCAAGGAGAAGGAGGTAGCTAAGGGGTCCCTGTATGGCTGGGAGGTGGTGGGGTGGTGCACTCCTTTAATCCCAGCAGTCGGGAGGCAGGGGCAGCTCTGTGAGTTTGAAGCCAGCCTGGTCTACAGATTGAGTTCAGGGACAGACTCCAAAGCTACAGAGAGACCCTATCTGGGCAAGGGGGAGGTCCCTGTATGAAAGGCAGCCCAACACTCACAGCTGTCTCAGGGCAGATGGTATCCACCCAGGTCCCTAGGAGGAAACAGGCCGAACCAGTTGCTAGGGGAACTCCTCACCCTTGAGGTTGAGCTGCTGGATAGGATCCCCTGGTGCTTCTTCCTGGCTCTTATAGTAGGACAGCGTGGTGTCCTTGAATACTACCCAGTGCTGGCGGTAGCCCTTCAGGGTCAGCTTCCTGGGCCTGGAGGGAGTAGGAAGCCTGTGACTCGTGGGCTCCCCACCCTTCCCCCTTCTCCCTTCTCTCCAAGCAGGCCCCACACTTAACCTGAAGATTCGGAGATGGTCCTTCAGTTCCGGGATGGTGGTGAGGCTATCCTGGGGGAGGAGAGAAGTCAGAGGGAACCTTGAGTCCCCCTACCGGACG